AGTAATATTTCGACATCGTCTACTAAGTATGATTTAAAACTAAAAATAATTGAACTCCAATAAAATAAGTAATGTTAGTGGCTTGGTACAAATATATTCATTAATAAATTAATTAGTTAATAATGATGTTAGTTCTTACATACTTCCAATATTAGGTTAGGTGTTTTACCAATAAGTTAAATGGGGTGAAGGGAAAGAGATTAACCGAACCCTAATTTGGTTATTTTTATTATTTTTGAATATTTTTCTAATAGAAAAATATCTGAGAAGATTCCATTGCCCTTTCCGCTGAAACAGTTATACTTATTTTAAATTGGCTCAAACCACCTATTTTGTTCTCTTACGATCAAAATCCCGATTTCGGTACTATTTTACGATTTTAACGATTTTAGTCCCGATTTTAAACGATTTTAAGGTCCGCCGATTTTATAGTAAAATCAAGATCGGAATCCTTAAGTAAAATCCTACGATTTTACGATCAAAATCCCGAATTTGACTGCATTGGCGATGGGTGCAAAATTAGTGGGCCAAATAACAGTTTGGGCCCGTTTAAATGAAAACATATTTTTACTTTCGTGCTCAACAGACCGACCGCACTGGCATCTTCTAAATTTACCCCTAAAAAATTGCTCTGTACGCATCAAATTTGAAATGGAATCCCTCTTTTCTCATTTCACATTTCACATTTCACATTTATATGATGTGTAGATTGTGATGAGTGTAGATGTAGACCTGTCATTGTCCTACAAATTCATTAACACGCCAAAAAGTGGTGAAATGTGCCACCCTATTAAACACAATCTTGTATAATGATCATTGGATCCAATCATGCAAGATTATGAAGAAGTTTAAAATGTAGCGGTTATCCCGACTAAAACATTAAAAGAACCAGTCTCATATAGTTTGCACAAAGATATAATTTCTCCATAGTAATTCTGAAAAATAATATTAATTTAAGAAGTCGATATTGCTTCTACATGTTTAATATTGCAATTCGATATGCAATATTCGAACCAGTGATATTTGGGCTGCAATTTTAGGGTTATTGTATATTTATAAAATAGATAGAAATTTAAATTAAGTATTAAACTACAACTAAAATAATCAAAGTATTAAAACACCAAATAAGTACTTACGGGAGATTCAGTGGCCAACTAATCTTTAAAAAAGTCATATGATTTTCATAATTTAGGTTCGTGTATGTTTGAATTTAAATAGATACAATAAATATACTTAGTCTGATTGGTTATGATCTTTGCTTGCCTTTAAAGAGACCAAGGTTCAAATCCCAGTGCATGTCTTTTTTATGAATAAATAAATAAGAAAATAAGTAATTGTGAAGACCAAAATGTCCTTCCTATAATCACTCTCGTTGCAGGAAATTTGAAATAGAGCAACAGTTTTCATCATTCGGCTTTTATTTATTATCTAGACTAGATATATGAAATATATACGGCTGACAGAGTGCAAGTTGGATTGTATTTGAGCGGCGGTGAGCCCCCGCGCCCGCCCACCCGCCGCCCTTCTTCCTGAATTCCGAGGTTTAGGTTCATATTAATATTTTATTCTATTTATTGGCAGTATCCTCATGATGATCACTTCGACGACTTCAATCATATATATGGCTATAATACGTACGCCGCCCACTTGCTTGAAACATAGGATAGGATCAAGATACCGATGATCGTTAATGACTTAATGTGTTTAACTAAATAAGCCACAATTTTTCTGATCATGTATCTAAATCAAATTAATTGATCGACTAATTCAGCTTCTACGGTTGGTATGGAATGTTTAATATCTTGAAAGGAAGTACTCCAATTCCATTCTACAACAGCCATTTCACATCTGCTTGTCGAAAACAAGCCATTTCGATTCATAAAAATGTTCTGATAACATCATTGGAAAAAGCTTCGTCTCGGGTTAAATCTTAGCAATCAAACTAAATTCAAGGAGGAGATATAGAGGTCATTTTGTATGAATCATTTAAAAAATATTCATTCGCTCGAATTTAGACATTTGATAAATGTAGATATTCGGGATGTAGATATTTACAAATGTATTGTTTGTTTGAAAGTTTTTAGATGATCATTTGTATAATGTTAACAGTTTGCCGCCTTATATTTAATATATTTCATTATCTTGTTCCTATCCTAATGAAACCAACAAACCAAATTAATGACTCACGTAGTGTTATGTTGTGCTCTCTTGTTTTCTACAAGGCAGTATTAAAATAATATGCTTCCCACCAAATCGTTATATTCAATGGCGTAGGTTAGATTTGGTGTGGGGTTTTAAGATGGAGTGAGTTTAATCAAAGCTTAGGTATGGGGTAGATCAACTCTCAATCTCATAATAATCGAGCTTGCGGATGCGGAGGGAGTGCATCTGGCGAGCGAAAGAGAGGGCGGAGGAGCCGAGGCCGTGAGACTGAGAGCTCTTCGTCCCCTCCAGCTAGCTAACGGCCAGGCTCTTACTATATTTTTGTAATATAGAAGTCTTCTTGACAGAAATATACTTTTAGTGTGTCTTCCTCGCTTTGGAAAACCAAACTAATAATTATATAGCATCTTGATTGATACATGCATATGTGGCGTATGTTAGGTATAGTAGTATTCGTTTCCTTCTTTGAATTTTGGCCGTTTAATATAATATGTATTTGAGTACAATTCAAATATCACATTGGAAATTGAAAATATAAGAGAAAGATTTCTTATATATTAGTATTCACATAGCCCAATTAATACAAAGTATTTTAGGAAGGAACTCAGAAGTATACGTCAGTTCGGTGGACACACATTAGGTGACCTCGGGATTTCAGATATGCATTTGTAGGGCTGATCATAAAAGAGATTTGTGTTTGTTTGGTTTGATTCGATAAAGATTTGTGTCTGTCTTGCATATCAATGGAGATATGCATCGGGTAAATCCGTGTGTCGAAGAGCAATGTCGATACAAGGTGTCTGTCGAATCAAGATAATCGCTGAAGAGAGGACACAACGATCGCGATCCTTATTCTCGCGAGGAGAGATTGTTATGGTACAATCCAAGTACCACATATGAAATACAAGGGAAATGATCATTGCATATAAGTGTTCACCAAGCTTATTAGTACGACGCCTTTTGAAGAGTATACCCACAATTAAATTCGTGATTGTTTGACCCAAAGTGGACAATAGCATACCTACGAGCTATTTGATCTCGACACGCATCTACGTGTTAACAATTAAGTTATGGTAAGAGTTCTCTTTCTTCTTAATTTTGTGTGTGGAAGTTTTCATTTCGTTAACTAGGTGGAAAGGCCAAAACTCAATCCAATCGCTCTTTAGGGCGACGAAAGAAGTGGTCACCACAAAAAAAGGGCATGTTGTTTTCTTTTTCTTGTTCGTCCTTAGCCTTTTATTACGGATGGTTATTATTTGACAGGATATATATGCCAGCACAACAAGAAAAGAAGATAGGAGAACGGATGGTTAAGAAATTCCCCGATGGTGACAGAATTCAAAATTGTTTGTGGTAACAGAAAAAGGGAAGAAGGAAAATTTGAGCAGTTTCCCGACATGGAAATACTGTTTGGGGATAATAATGGGAGTTGCTAAAGGTCGTCCTTAAAATTGTTAAATGTCGCCCTAAAAAACATCAAAGTTACAAATTAAACATTTTAGCTTCTTTACTCTTCTTTTAGCAAACAAACACAACTTAATAAAGAAAATAAAACATTATTCAAAAGAGAGAATCCATCATCGTCATTCTGGAGTTGAAATCGTCGATATGATATCTGGAGCATGACTAGCGACTCTGAATTGGTAAAGTTCACTCAAAAAATTGAAAAAAAAAACAAAAAAAGGGAACCGTAGCTCATTTGCGGTTGCACCATGGACCAACCGTAACTTGCCTTAGGTTGAGCGTTTTTTTGGAAATTTCGTTAGAGAACGAGCGACGCCGACGGCGGGAAAGACGCCGACGAACTGGTGCGTCGAGAGGGATTCGCGAAGAAGGCAGATGAGAGGTTCAGTTTGAGGGGTTAGGGATTGTTTGGTTTGTTTAAATTTTGAAATTTTATTGGGAGCATATAAGTCATTTATCATTAGAGTTGGGGCGACCGTTAGCAATTTTAAGAGCGATTCAAATAATTAATGGCAAACGGAGACAACCCAAATTCATTAATGGTAAGAAGAAAGAATTTAATAGAATGGTGTGGGCTTTTTACGTGGGTGCATGGGCCGGGCGTTGGCCCACCAGAGCCAATCAGCTGGTGAGAGCTAGAGTTAATCATAAAGAGAATTTGCATTTATTATATGACAAAAAGTTCATTTTGTATCTTAATATAAAGATGCAAATTCAGTGTGTACTATAAATAAATTTATAAAGGACGATAAAGTTACGAATTGAGTCTGTACTATAACATTAAAAATAGTAAAATATTGTATTTTAAAATAATATTGTCAAACCAGTTTATACTGTTGTGTCGGTTTAGCAAGTGGAATGGTTCGACCGGTAATACAATCGGTTGTACCTGTTCGTGCTAATTTAACATAATATGTAGAAATGTGAAAAACATTTACATCCAATAAGTTTAATCGCATATAAAAAATGTATTTGAAGACAATTTATTTATGATCCATATTCATATTTAAGTAGGATAAAAAAATTAAAAATAAAATAATAAGTACTCATATTTAATTACAACAATTACCGTCAATACCTAAACGTTTATAATGTTTTTCTTAGAAGTTGTAAATCGATAATGTCGATCATACCATTGATGTTTATACTGTTTTTATGATGAGAACCATCCACGTGACAAGTTGACAACCATACTTTAAAATATTGTAAAATTTCTTTCGTTCCTAAACCTCGGGAATTAAAGCCGGTGAGATAAATTATATTAGAAAAAAAAGGTAACAACAAAAATTGCAGCTCCCGCGCCCAAAACGCGGAGATGGATAGATAGAGAAAGAAGGTTTGTTTTGGAGGCGTAAGCAAGCAAAGTGCAGTCTCCAAAGTCCAAAATTGATTTTTCTTTTTCTTCTTATTATTGTTGGTCGTCGTCTTCCTCTTCCTCTCTCTCTCTTCTTTCTTCTTTATAGACAGGAAAGCAGGAGGAAATCAACAAGTCGTCATCGTCGTCGTCGTCGGGAGGGTTTTTGTAGCGTTGTGGGGGCGGCTGTGGGTAGCGACCAAAATCCCAAGATTTTGCCTGCGCCAACTTGTGAATGTGATTGCTTGCTTTGCTTCCTTGCTTGCACACCATCTCAAATATAAAATCCCCCCAACAATAAATTCCCCTTCCCATCTTATCTGCACCAGCCCTAGCTGCAGCTTTTCCTTTCGTCCCTCCGTTCTGGCTAACGCCTCATTTTTCTTCTTCTTCTTCTTCTTCTTCTTCTTTCCAAATTGATATATCCGGCCGCCACTCAGATTCCTCCGCCCGCTGCAGAATTTGTTTTGCGCAATTAATACCATCGTCGTCCTCCTCCTCCTCCGGTGAATCAATTAGGAAATCGAGGGGGACGCCGTTGAATCGAAGAGAAACTCAATTCCCGGCGAGGCCGGCGCCGCCGATATACTTTATCTCTGCGCTCGGCCCGTTACTCCGGCTAGCTCCATTATTTCCTCGCTAGTTCCATCGCCCGGGTACGTAATTCATTTCATTTCCGCTTCTTCTTCTTTTTCTCTGTTTGGGTAATAGAAAGCGATATTTGTCCCCTTTCTCCGTTTGTTTCGGTTTCCCCATCTGCTGCTGCTGTGCTTGTTGTTTTGCTTGTCCATACATTCTGTTTTTGTTTCCTTTTGCTTATTTAATTAATAAAATATATCTAAAAGTACAATAAAATAATATATATTAATATAATAAGACACCAAGGACGGACCTTGGCGGCAAGTCTTGTAAAATCAAGGCCGCGACAATGAATCAAACCAGACGAACCATCCAACCCACTCGATTCAACATCCAGACAAATACACAGATGGTTCGAGAATCACAAAGACATGAAAAAGTTGGGAGGAAGAATTTCTTACTCGAATGGTCACGCAATCACTTGCTAACCACAAAATTATACCAAAACAACGACTTGTACATTAATCACTATGCATGGCGTGTATACAAGTTGGAAGACAGCAGCATTTCAATTCAAGCCTTAATTACAGACAGATAAGAGTAGTTGAAGAAGAAGGGAGAGGATGTGGGGTTTGGGGGACCAAATGGTGATTATGGATCATTCGTTGAGGTGAAACGGTTTATGTGGCAAACGCTTTTAATTACTGGACCGTTTGATTGCTTGTTGTTTAAGTAGGTGGTCTACTCATTAATGTTGGTGTGACTCCCTCGATGTCCTTCTACTTGTGTTCCCATTTTCTGCTATATATATGTATCTCTGATTTTGAACATCCTTCTGCTGCAGCCCCAATTCTTAGGAGATTGATTTGCATTGTGTAGACAGAGATGGCGGTATTGGATTTGTTCATAGCGTCGTCCATTCCGGTCATCAAGGTTCTCGTCATCACTGCTCTAGGCACCTTCCTCGCCCTCGAGAAAGTCGATGTCCTGGGCGCCGAAGCAAGAAAACACGTCAACAATGTAACCAACTTACCCGACCCATTAATTAAATCACAGTAGCTTCTTATGTTTAGCAAACTTAGGTGTGATGTCTGCATTGATTGATTTGGCAGGTGGTGTTCTATGTGTTCAACCCGGCGCTCATGGTGGCGAGCCTGTCCCAGACCATAACGTTCCAGCAGATGGTGAAGCTCTGGTTCATGCCGGTCAACGTGCTCATCACATTCGTGGTGGGTTCGGTGCTGGGATGGATGGTGATACAGCTCGCCCGACCGCCCAAACAGCTGAAGGGGCTCATCGTTGGGTGCACCGCGGCGGGGAACTTGGGCAACATGTTCATGGTCATGATCCCCGCCATTTGTAAGGAGAAAGCCAGCCCCTTTGGCTCCCCTGAAGTCTGCCAGTCCTACGGATTGGCCTACTCCTCTGTCTCCATGGCTGTAAGTAAATACATATCAAACATGTTTCTTAGTTTAGATACCATGATGATGATGATGAACTGATATAAGTAACATATGAACATGATTTGTTATTATTGCAGCTGGGAGCAGTGTATCTATGGACTTATGTGTACAGTATTATGAGGGCGTCGAACCCAGTACAAGTAGCAGGAGGAGGAGGAGCAGGGGGTGGTCATGACCCAGAGAAGCTTACAGTCAGTATCACCACTACAACTACAACTGGAACTGTTGGAAGCTCGCTCGAGCACCCGCTTCTTCTACATTCATCGACCTCGAACCTTGATAAGGTAACGCTTCGGCTTAATTTGCCCGATTAACCGTATCAATCGGCCTGCTTGTACACATGCTTGATAATTAACTTATCTGTCGATTAATTTGTTACACAAACAGATGAATGCAGCAGGTGATGAGAACAGCAGTAGCTTCCTTCAGAGGGTAAAGCAAGTGCTGGCCAGAGCGCTAGGAAGTGTCAACTGGAAGACCATCTTTGCACCTTCCACCATTGGTGTGGTGAGTAATTAACAATCACTGACTACTTAATTAGCACCATTAACTTGGAGATGATGATTTGAGCTTTCTTTGGTTTGTAATACAATCTATATGCAGATTATCGGATTTGCGATTGGTTTGACCACACCAATAAAGAATCTGCTGGTGGGAGACCAAGCACCTCTTCGTGTTATTCAAGACTCCGGTGTCCTATTAGGGTAAAAGCCACCAACTCACAACCACTAAATGTTATTATCATAATGAACAAACGACTTTGATCATCACATGGTACTATTTTATTAACATATTAATGCCATTTTTGGTTTTGGGTTTGTGCAGACAGGCAGCCATCCCAACTCTGACTCTGCTTGTCGGAGCTAATCTACTCAGAGGTACTCATCATTTATGCAACCTGCCTTGTTACATGAACAGGACTGACTATATATTGGACATAAGACACATAATATATAAGTGTAGAATTGATTAGGAAATTTCTTCTTCTTCTTCTTCTTTGTTGTTGCAGGGTTGAAAGGGTCGAGCGTGAAGACGACGGTGATCATAGGGATCGTACTGGCTAGGTACGTTGCGCTTCCTCTGGTCGGTATCGTGGTGGTGAAAGGGGCGCTGCGTCTGGGTTTCATCCCGGCAGACGATCCACTCTATCAGTTCATTCTCCTGCTTCAGTTCACTGTTCCTCCTGCTATGAACATCGGCATCATCACCCAGTTGTTTGGAGAAGGGGAGTCGGAGTGTTCTGTCATCATGCTCTGGACTTATGCCTTGGCTTCTGTCTCCCTCACTCTTTGGTCCACCTGCTTCATGTGGCTCGTCAGCTCTTCTTGATCGTGATGACGATGACGATGATAATAGTAATGTAGCTAAAAAAACAAAATTGTACCGTATCATACCATATATTTTTTTACGCCATCCCCTTCACTGAGTAGGACCAGAGGAAGAAACCGGAGAAAAACGAAAGCAAGATAAGGGGATAGATACATATTAGACTTCCATTACTTCAATTCTTCAATCATTATTATGTTGTATGTATAGAGTTATAGATTCATATGTTAGTGAACTATATAGTACAAGCATTGTCCCAATTATTAAATTATTAATACGTCTATCATCTCTATTTTGCCTTCTAGACACTCACCCTAATTACCATTTCTAGTATGCAGAATCTGAATGCTAAGATAAACAACTATAACGAGAGCTTCATTTCCTTTTATTACCCACCCACAAAGGCAAAACATCGAATTAAAACGCGACTCATCCATCATTAGCATCATCTAAATACATTAAAAACAAGTTTCTGCATCTCTCAAAAACGAAAAGACAAAAAAAGAGTTGTTCATTCAGTCAGTGAATTCCAAAACTCCAACCCCAAATGCAGAAAAAGAGAGCTACATAATAGAACCGCAAGAAAGGACAGTCTCTCTACAGGGTGATGAGGCCATTGGATGGAGTTGATGACATGGTGGTAAGAACCTCTGTCACTGAAGCCATTACACTCAAAGCAGCCTTCAGGACTTCAGGCGAACAACCTGGCTTCACTATGGTACGAACCTGTAAAATATAGATACCAACAGAAAAGATGTCAATTCTAAGAACTCTAAATACGTAATGACCACAAGCGACTCCTACTCGATTAGCTAACCATCACTTGACTAATGGGGCAGAATGTGTGATCTATTCCGACTCAGTAGCATTCATTACCAGGTTTTGCAATGACCTGTTGATTATCGCTTCCACATGACCTTCAAAGGAGCACTAGGAAACAAAATGACTGAACAGAAACTGGGAGACAAGGGTGATCTAAGCAAACCCACCTTATCCAAGTATTCCTGCAGTGCCTTGATTCTGCCCATGTAATCTTGGTCTTCAACGCACAGAGTCACAGCTTTGGCATCTGCCCCTGGACCGTCAAACTGTAGCGGTCCCGGGTTTCTGTACAGATCATCCAACAAAAATCTCACTGCATTTTGTCTCAACAACCTGTAACCAACACGAATGTGGAAGCCAAGTTATAATCCTTATTTCCAGGTCTTCAGCTCAATACAGAAACAAGGGGGGGGGGGGGGGGGGGGGGTGAAGAGATTTAGTTGGAAACACTCACCCATATGCCTTGCCATTCAAGTCAACAGTAGCTGGATGAATAGCAGGTTTTCCAATTGAAGGTGCACCGGGACTTTGAGCCCATCGATTCACTGTCAACATTGCCTAAAATTTCACAGCTCATGGAAGTCAGTATTATATACCACCACAAGCATAATAAATACAAGTCTTATGGTGTTGCCAGCTTCAAGCAAAAATCTGATAGCAAGTAAGAAGATGAAAGTAGAAATTCATACTGTGATTGGGGCAGCAGCACAACGCCATTTATTCACAGGGTTCTTAAGGTTAGTAACAGTTGCCATGTAACCATTTAGACCAGCAGCAAGAATATGGTAGCAGATATGGCCAAGAACCTGCAAAAAGACAGTTTTACATGAATAACTGAGTGAATTATTAACTGTACAAACTTAGGAACACGAGCAACCCATTTGTCGTACATAGGCATAGTCACAGTCAAACTTCGATGGTAAAGATCCACGAGCCTGATAACCAAAAAAGTGGCAGATGGCATTGAATTTCTTCCCCTTGTATGTGCCTTCTTTCTGCAAAGGAAAGAAATGTCATAAAAAGTTAAAACGAATTGTTCAATAACTGCAAAGCACAATGAAAAAGAAGAGCCATGGCCTACATTCCCAATATCACTGGGTTAAAATGGATAATGATACATCTGAGTTTCACTTCAGTAAGAGTATGAGTCATCATGTAACAATTAATTACTAATTAAAGGTGAGCCAACAGCATACCTGGCGCTTGTTCATTTCTACCTCCACAAGATGTGCCAAGAGTTTCTCTGTCTCAATCTGAGAAAAACACAATGTTTGAAAATTGAGAAATATATAATTTTGTAGTATACCATAAGCGAAAACCTCAAACTTAGTACCTGGGACAGCTGAGCAGAGTCATCAGATTCAGGGTGAAGAAGCAGCTGCGCAGTTAAAATAAAGTTTTAGATTCATTTTCTCACACATTGATTCACAGTGAACCATGCCAAATCTTTCAGAGGGATCCACACCTGCTTCTTGATAAATATTGGCAAAAACTCAAACAGAGCAGATGCCCATGGTGAAAGTTGAGATGAAATTTTATCAGCAGTAATGCCCTGCCTGAGTAGACCATGTATTTCCTGCAAAAAACCCCATCTGAAAGTGAGTAACCATATTCATTTGGAAACAATTGTGTTTATGAGTAAGAAGTGAAACGATAAACAATTCCAGAAACCTAAAGTAAAGACATTCTCCTGCATAACACAGAAACAATTCCTCATTTTGTTATAAGGGTGAGGTACCTTCAGTAGTGCATACACCTCGGGAATGCTTTCAATTAGACCCTCAGGTAGCAGAATAACACCGTGGTTTTTATCTGGTGCAACAATCATGTCGGATCAGATTACATAAAGAAAAGATGAGTTTAGAGAGCTCTGAGAGGGTTTCAAAAATTGTTCAAAACCTTGTTCTGCTCTGGCTTGGACTGCATCACAAATCTGCTTACTGATGTCAAAAAGAGTAAGTTTTGATGCTGCTACCTCTTCACCAAGAATGACCTGAAAAGAGAAGTGAGATGAACAGACAAGAACGGCAGTACGGCACTGCACTACAAAAAAAAAGTATAACAATACAAGAAACTAGTGAATCAACAAACCATATTGGGATGAGATTGAAGAGTGCACTCCAAGGCAACATGAGAAGCTTTACGACCCATTAGCCGAATAAAATAATAGTACTGCAGAGGAGACAACAGATTAAACTTTTGCCAGGACTGAGGGTAAAGGCAATATGCGAGGCTTCATTTATCGATTCCCATTGGAGTACTTAATTGGAAAATTATGGATATACCTTCTCAGCAGAAAGAGCGTCAGTACACATATTGCTGATCAGCTGGGAATTTACCTGCACAAGGAAAATAAATGAGATTGCACATTCTCCTAAGTTGTGTTTGGATCAACATACAGAAAATGGTCATAAAGAGAGAAGTCTGAGAACCAGAGTTTCCCTCTTTAGCAGAACATGGAAGAGTAGTTTCAAAAGAAGTAGAACATGAAGCATCGAAGTAACCAAACCTTGCATATTGTATCAAACCCAACATTAGCTTCCACAAATTGATTCTTGAGATCTCCATTCAAAGTAACAGGGACACCAACCACCTGCAAATTGCAAACACCTCAATAATTGAAGTCTTGAGAAAGACGTAACTTACCAGCAGAAGTAACTGGCAAAACTGGAACAGCTCTAAATAAACATCCAAATAATAGAACAGCTACCAGCAGGTGCGCAATTCAGTATTCAAATGCGTAGATAAGTACCTTGGTTGGGCACCCAGCAGTGGCAAATGTCTCAGCAAGTTGAGCAGCATCCGTATTTGATGTAACCCCTTCGGAATGCCAAGCAGGTATGGTTAGTTACACTTCAAAGTTTATCATGTTTAGCTGATGTGACCTTAACGCTAAACCTACCTCCAATGATAACAAGGGCATTCAACTTAAGGTCTGTGCAGGCAGCCAATGCAGCATTAACTTGTTCAGTTGTTCGTATTTGATCTTTGGTCCTTCCCAGCAAATCATAACCACCTAGCAGAGTGCATCATGGTATGAATTACTCAAACTGGATAGGTATATGAGAATAAACAATGGCAAAATATTCGTTATATGATTCTATTAGGTACCTTGATTTTTGTAGGTAGTGAGAACGTCGTCTGTGATTTCAAGAGTTTTTTGTGCAAACAATCCCTCAGATCCACCTGTCAACAGAATATTCTCATACATATCAATTGCACTATTGCAGCGTATCTAAGATTACAACTTTGTTGCAGGCTTTTGCAACTTTCACGGAGTCGCTACTTTGAAAATAGTGACGTGGGCAAACAAACATTACCAACCATAAAAAAAAACCACAGAAAGGAAGACGAATGGTTACCCAGAAATCCGAGCAATACACTCTTGGGATTATGAGTCTTGAGAGCATTGTGAAGACCCCATATGACGTTATGTCCACCCGGGGACTGCCTTCCACAGAAGACTAGTCCGACCCTGCAGGCAACATATGTAAGACTTCAACAAGATTGCAGAGAATGAAACAGAAACCAAGGCTGATAAAGGAGTAAGGCACAAAATAATAATTACTTGTAAGGTGGATGTTCAGTGATGATATGCGCATCAGGAACTTGTGCAGTTGCCCGAAGGAAATGGGCTAAAGGCTGGCCGTAGGTGTGTGGGAAGAACCGGCTTATGGTGTGGGCCCCAGCTGGATCAGCTGCTGTGGTACCATCACCAAATTCCACCCTCACAGTGGTTCCCTGTGACAAGGCATGACCGAAGCAATTAAGAACAGGAACTGAAAACAAACAGTCTTCTCTGATTCCAATCGTAATAAGCAGTCCTAATCCTTTCCATGGATATGATTACATATACAGAAACAAACCGAGAGAGTCCACTCAATTTCCACATCCACAGGTCAAAAATCGTAAAAAAAAAACAGGTGAAGCAGACGAAAAGGGGCAACGGCTGCAACGAGATCTGCTTGTCCCAAATCCACCTAACCTTTCCTCAATCTCCGGTTTTCGTTACTCTAAGCAGATCTATCCTCAGGAAAGACTGATCTGAGCTAACATCGTTTGTACCGAAGGAAGAAGGCAGACAGGACTAGCAGGAAAGCAAATTAAGATGAATCAGGGAGACCAGAAAGGGCTTCCCGCTTCAGGATAGTTTACAGCGAAACAGACGACTCACTGTTCTTGCGACTAAGACTGAGAAATGGAGAGGAGATGAGGAGGAAAGCACCTGAAGGCAGGGAGGGAGCTCCGGCTGATACTGAGATCGGAGTTGCTGAAGTGGTGATAGTTCTCTGGGAATGCCGAAATCGGAATCCATGGCTGCTTCTTCTGGTCGATTGCAAGCAAAAAGCGGCGGTAGGTAAAGGCCAAGGCAGTGGGCGAGTGAGTTGAAGGGCAGGCGGATGGGAACTGGTGCAGCGCAGGGAGGTGAGTAGCCTTCAAGTCTTGTTGGTTTCTTAACTTTTTCTTTTCATAAAATCCAACGAACGTCGCCTTTTATAGCTAGACAGCTAAATCATAAAAATAAAGTTAATTCAGAGGAAGAGTTCAACTCGGCGATGCTACCAAAGACCAGAATTTCCCAAGCCAAAGCCCACAGTTTTCGTAAATGCTTTTTCTGGGCCGAGCCTTCGACTCTATGGTGGTGGTGGAGAATGTAGCCTACCATTTTTTTCACCAAGAATTTCATAGTGAATTTCCATCCCTTTTACAGTGTGGGCACCATGGTCCATGAAACCGTATCTGATATCGTACCGAAAAAGTCAGTGATATGATATTTTATGATAAAGTTGTGGTTTAACCGTAGTTCAATAGTTAGATCATTAAATATCGCCAACCGATTTAGCCTTCGATACTGATATTTTGTGGTTGAACCTCCAATACGGTACGGTTTCATGGATCATGGTGATGACTAGACTGGGGAGGCATTGAAGGATGAACTGTGGTTTGAACATTGTTATAGGAACCGAACCGGATCAACGGCCGGGCCAGTAGAACCACCAAACCAGTTACTATAGCGGTCCGGTTCATTGCTTGGACGGTTATTGATGGACCAAACGCTTTTTCACGGTTCAACATAAAACCAGATGAACCACCACGGTTTAACTGGTCCACTGGTTCATTATTTTAATAAAAAAAACATTAAAAATACTTTATAATAAACTAAAACCATCAAACCATTATTATTAATTTTATATCTGCTTCCTCTTCACATTTTCCAACCTTGTTGTCAACTTTACATTGTCCACTACCGACTGACACCGTAATTTTTAATTTGAATTAGAAATTAAACTTTTTTTGTGAGATGCTTTGAATGATTTGTTAGATATTTTGGTGATGATATGAATTTGAAAATTGTTTGTGGTCAATGATAACTTCATTATTAAATTATTGTAATATACAAGTTTTATATGTTATATATCTTGAACGATTCTATCAACGATTCACCAACGAATTTGTAATGGTTAACCACTAAACCTCTAAATCATTAATTTTTCCACTTCAACCTCCGATCTGGTTCTAAAAATAGAGGGTCTGGATCAACAAAACTCGCAACAAAAGTAGAGTATATCCCCCGTCACCGATTTTGTGCCGAGGAATATGCTGAAAAGGGTAAATGGGGATGGCGGGATGCTACCATAATTCCAAAAGAGAGCGCACGGGTTTGAAGCCCACCCATAGAATGGAAAGTCACATAAGCATATCCCATTGACGGAGTGGGCCAGGCCCCTGGCCCGATAAGGCTATGTTCAATTTTTGTGTCGTTTGGAATATAGGGGTATTCAAATGATTTATTAGGTTAATTACCATTAAGTCTAAATTTTATAATTATAGAATATAATAGGTTTAATTCACCCGCGTAGCCATAACTTTCACGGTTTTCACAAATATAGTCACTTTTTGAATAATACACAGATGTAGCCACAATTTTCAAACATTGTTGACTAACCTAGCCATTTCCCTTAAAACATTTGACGGTGTTAACGTCTCCGTCAGTTAAGTGGACGTTTTGCTGATATGTCCGCCAAATGGATGACACGTCATCGCCAACCGGATGGAATTAGCCACGTGGACGCCACATCGGAAAAAAAATATTTTGGTCAGACTCAATGCCAGCTGGAAATGTTATTTTATTATTATTGTAATTAAAAATAAAAGGAAAAGGAAAAGGAAAAGGAAAGTGCTCCGTGTCTTCCTCGTCTTCCTTTCCTTTCCATCTTCTCCGTTTTCCCTTCTCCCTAAACGCTGCTAAGCCGATAATATCTCCGACCACCACCGCTGCCTTTCCTCCTCCCTATCGCACTACTCCTTCCGATGCTGCTGCTTCTTCTCTGTTTCTTCGCTTCCAGGGGAATAATAAATCTAGGAGGAGCATACGGAATCGAAGTACTAGAATAAATCCAGGGCGGCGGCGGCGAAACCATGGCGACTCCGAGCGAGAACGGAGGGGAGGAGCAGAACGATTTGGGAGAAGAGATAGTGAAGGCGATGATGGAGAGGACGAAAGCGGAAAGTGGTGCCAGATCTATTCAGTGGAATGGCTAAGGAGATTCGAGAGATAGAAGAAGGAGATAAGGAAATCTCGAATCTCTCCGCCTCTGTTCCTCCATGCCTTCAAGTTCATAGAAGAAAATTTTCCGATTTAGGGTTTTGTTTCAATAGATTTCACCCTCAATTGATTCGAAGGTTTGTGGTTCTATGTTTGATTGCTTGCTCAACATCGCCGCCCTCTGCTACCCATATCTCTCTTCTATGCCCTCGTCCTCTGCTTACCCACACAGATGAGGAGGAGTTGCCGCGGCGCGATAAGCAAAGATTATGTAGGCTTGAAGGTCCTTGTTCCAACTAGGGGAAGTTGAACTACAGTACTTTTGAGTCTCAACCGTCGATCGAGGATGGAGATGGCGGAGGAGAGGCGCAGACAAGGCAGGGAGAGGGGATTGTTTTCCGGGAAGTGTAACCGTGGTCGGGAGAGATGATGGCGATGGAGGAGGATGAAGAGATTGGCGGAGTGGAGTGTCCAGATGATTCCATGGAAAAGAGCTCTCAGTGGAATGAGGGAGAAAGGAATAAATTTTTTTTTTTTTGCTAAAAACTAGTATTTTAATATGAAGTGTCATCCATGTGGAAGGCATGTTGACTTGTCGTTTGACTTTTTTATTAAAAAAAAATGTTTTCCACGTGGAAAAGACGCAAAAGAAAACACGCCACATCAGCCACGACAGTTAGTCCAGTCAGCGAGTTAATTAAACCAATATAACATAACATTATAATTACGTAAGAAAAAAAATCTGTGTATTATTAAAAAAAAGTGGCTATATTTGTCAAAACCGTGAAAATTATGGTTACACGGGTGAATTAAACCAATATAATATTATAATCAAATCAATCAAAATAACACAACATTCAAATCAACTAAATTAAGGTTTAATCAGTTTAGTTAAGTGATTAATCGCATTAACCAATATAACATAACATTATAATTACGTAAGAAAAAAAATCTTCATATAATTTACCAGTTCGCAATTTATATAATGAATAAAATATAAATATTAACGTATAGTTAAACCTTGATAAAATACATGCACCTAATATAATTATCTTATAGTAATTAAAAGTGACCGCCTAATAAAAATAAATGTAAATGGTGTGAAATTAATGAATTGAGTACTGTGTGAATTGTCTTAGTCTCTTAGCAAATTATCGGAGGCTAAAAAATCCTTCACTTGCATTTTTCGTCCAACATAATGTAAGATCTTTTATCTAAATTAGATGCTCATATTTTGTTATCTACACTCTACCGGAACAAATATAGTAAGATACAATAAGGAGTTTTATTATTTTGATGGGTCCTACAAGGAGGAGCACTTGAGTCTTGAATAGTCATGCAAAGTATTAAGTATTGGATATAATATATTAGATATATGTGGCTAATTGCTTAATTGATCAGGAGTGTCTAAACTGAAACCAAACCAAACAAGCTAAAAATTTAATCAAACCAAATTATATAAATACTAATGGTTCAAATGGTTATCACGGTAACCACTCTTTTTCAATACCCCTAATTCGAATGATGGATTTCTATGCAGGATTTTGCCACAATCCCATAAAATATGAAATTTTAACAAAGTAACACGTTTGGCGTGGGAAGCCTTAAAGATTAGGGATTGTGGACAACAGGGATTTCAAAAACCAACATATCTAGTTTTCAAAATAGTTGACCCTCCTTAAATATTTTAAAATCCTACATTTTACATTTTCTATTTCCAAAACTAACCCTTCCTTCAACTCTCTTCTTTCTTCTTCATTCCCCATCTTGCTTTTTGTCTTCACTTTAAATTCATCTTACTTCTTCATTCTCCTTCTTCCTTCGACCTCTCCCCACCAATGTTCGCGATGATTCTTCTACGCTGCCATTTGATGTGATTTTCTCGACCAGAAAATACCAAGATCCCCAACGGGGGATCGGTAGGAAGTGAGCGGGGAATAGGAACAGAAGAATCCCCTGTAAGGTGGCTATTAATCCCCGATCAGGGATATGAAGATGCGAGATAGGGGATCGGACCTCAAATTATATTTTGTGTTTATGATTCTTTTCATTTTCGGATTTTTTATTAATTTTTGTTTCTTTGGCCTATTTAAAGGATTAGACCCGAGTTTTTGACAGACTTTGGAGATTATTGAGTTTATTCTTGGTTCATTGAGCTTTTAGCTTTTAGCTTGCGAATTGTGTTTTGTATCAATAGAATATTCCCTTTGAGTGTGGCCGAGCTTCTACTGCCTTCTTAAGGTGTGAGATTTGATAATTTTCGGAAACATGTTGATTTCTGTGTTGAATGTGATGATTTTATGGTATGTTTCAGACATATAATGCTTGTTTTAGGTCCAATTGACTATGTAATGGTTATCAACCCATTACCACCACGTGTTAGTATGTTGATATATTTTAGGTGGAGAAACAAGAAATGATTGATGCGCAAGTGAAATACCACAAGTGGTCCGACCAATGGTCAATTCCAAACCAAACCGGCTTGAACGAGCTTTCTTTGCCTAACAAAATGTAGCAGCAGCCATTAGGAGTTAATTAGACCGGGAGCAAACTTTTGGGCCTGATGGGTTGGAACACAAGTCTTAAATTAATGTGGATGTCTTAAATTAATGTGGATGGAAGTAGTTCTTTTGGGGGAATTAATTGGATAGAAAGGATTCTTTGGGACCAAAACTTCTTTCAGGGAGCGGAGAATAGCAGGCAGCAGCGCTAAGAGAGAAGCTTAGCGGCGACTAGCGAGCAGGGGACGAGCAGAGAGCGGCGATCGGCAATTGGAGCGAGAAGGAAATGGTGCCGAGATTACGTATGATAATCTCAGTATTTTTGCTTTAGCTTTAGCTTTAATAAATACGATGATGATTATAAACATGGATGTGTGTTTTATTTTTGTCATGAACTAAACCCCAATTTCTGGGAGAAACATTATAGTATGTAGCTATTTTTAGACTTGATGAATTGATTCATATCTCTTTTCT